TCCTCCTCCTCCTCCTCCTCCTCCTCCTCCTCCCCGTCTCCCTCCTCCTCCTCCTCCTCGTCCAGGCTGGACCCCAAGCTCCGATCCAATGATACCCTGGAAGAAGAGCCGTTGCCGCTCGGGCTATTTTTTGCAGGCCGTCCCCGGCCGCACCCCGGGAGTGCTCCCTCCATGCTCAAAACAACGAGAACCCAGCACGGGAGGCATGGGGCAAATCTCGATCCCTGAACGAAGAGGATCAGAGGAGGAAAAGGTACCCATACCTCGGGAGCGGAAAAGAGGGGGGTGATGACTAGGGGGGGTGGATTTCATGGCTCGGGCCATGATATTTCCCCAGATTTCATGGCGCCTCTTCTTATTTCATTACGTCCCTGGCCCCTCCACTGGGCCGCGCACATGCCGCCGGTCATGATTTGCACCCCCCCCTCTTGGACGCCCCCCTCTTGGCCGCTCCCGAATACCGCTACCCTTCCCCCGTTTTCATTTTTTCTGGCCCTCCTCAGGGGCCCTCCTTGCCACCGCTGGAGTCGCCTCGAAATCCGGGTCAAAAACGCACCCCGGGAGAGGTCCAGGGAGCAGCCGCATCGGCCCCTTTTGGTTTCCCCTAAGGGAGGGGTGGGGACGCACCAGGTGCCAGTGCTCGCTCATGATTTGGGAAGGCCTTACAGTGGAGACCCATGCCAAGAAACACCCTGCTTGCCTCCAGGGTGCCCTGGGTTTCTTGGGTTTTCATGGTTTTGCGATGGAACGCGTGACGTTCCCAGGCCAAATCTGAAGGGACGCCCTGGGGCTTGGGTTTCTTGTGGAAGGTTTCTTGTGGACTGGCCTCCACTGTACGGCCTGTGCCGCCTACTCTGAATGGGGGGCGACGATCACGACGGCGGCGTCGGCGGCGGCGACGACGCTGACGTGGGGCAGAGTCCTCAGTGATGCTTCGTGGGGCCTCTTCGGAGCGCGCTTGTGGGCCTCTGTGAGGCAGTATTGGGGCCTCTTGGGAGCATCTTGGGGGCCTCTTGGGAGCCTCTTGGGGGTCCCTTCGGGCTTCTTGGGGGCCTCTTGGGGCCTCGTGGGGGTCTCTTGGGGCCTCCTGGGAGCTTCTCTGGGGCGAGGGCTCGAAATGTTCGTTCGGCTCCCGTGTGGGCACCCTCTTGGAGCCGTTCGGGGGCCTCTTGAGCAGTCTCTGGGAGGCCCCTGGGGTCGCCTTGGGGCCCCTTGGGTCGTTCTGGGACCGTCTTGGAAGCCTCCTGCTAGCGCTCGCTCAATGATTGCCCGGACGAGAGGCGGTCCGCCTTCCCCCGCCCCTTCTCCTTCGGCGACGGAGGAGGAGGAGGAGAAGTATAATAATGATGATGATACGGATAATAATATTGCGAATAAAAAGAAGACGACGAATAGTAATGATAATACTCATACGAAGAAGACTCAGAAGACGAGTAACAACAATAATAATAATACGAGCGCCAAGAAGACGAATAAGACGAATATTCATAACACTGCGAATGCTAATGCGACGACTAATAAGACGATCATGAGTTATAACAGTACGAATAATACTAACCATACTACTAAGCCATCATACTAATACGCATCCTATTAATACGAGTAATACTATTAAGAAGACTACGACGAATAAGACTAACACGAACCATACTAATAATAATACTACACATAATACGAATACTAATGAGACGCATGATAATACGACTAATCATCATACTACTACTAACGATAAGAAGAACATTAACACTACTACTACGACGAATGATACTGATATTAATCATCAGAATAAGAAGAATATGACTAATAAGGAGAACACCATTAATAAAAGAAGAAGAGGAGGAGGTGGAGGCGGAGGTGGAGGCGGAGGCAGAGGCGGCGGATGAGGAGGAGGAGGAAGTTATCCTCATCCGATTTTTCCTCGTCCTGGCTTCGTCTTGAGAAGGGTCCAGCTGCATGTGGCGGCGGCGGCCCGCGCTACCGGGGGATGGGGACGGGATCGGGACGTGAGTGGACAAGGGGGACGTGTCAGAAGCCTTGCACCATATGATTGCGTTGGCAGGGGTGGAAAAGTGCATCACATGCGCCGCGACTGCACTGCCGACGCCCACGCTCGCGCTGCACCGCCTTCCGGCCGGAGGTACACAGGCAGGCGAGCGGGTGTACTGGCCGCTCGCAAACGATTTGAGACCTCGCGGCTCCCACTGGGGCTGCGAATTGCGCAACTGCCGCCACGCCCGCGGGCCCCTGGGAGGCACGGCGGAGTGCAGGGCAGCGCCGACCATTTGAGACCTCCCGGCTCCCTCCAGGGCTGCGAACTGCTCAGCTGTCGCGAGCTGCGCAGCCGTCGCCACTTTCGTGGGCTCCGGGGAGGCACGGCGGAGTGCAGGGCGCCCACCTTGCGCGTGCTCGCGTGGCGCGTGGCGCCGCCCCGTCATGTAGCGCCGCGCGGTGCTGCTGCATCACGGGCCGCAGAGTGCTGGACGTGTTCTTGTGTATGGAGCGTTCGTCAAAGACAGTCGCCTCGCGCGGACAAGGGGTTGTGTACGTCTCGGATATCTTTTTAGGTGCTAGGGCTAACGGGGGGGATCGTCAGTTTCTTCCCGCGGTTGGATGGGTAGGGGCCGAGGTGGGGCACAGCGCTGATTCTCCTTGCCTGGGGGCCGCCAGCGTGGAACCAAATCATGCCCACACCTCTGGGGACAAACCTCGCGCGGGAGGGGTGGCTCGGAATGGCCTCCGCTCCCCTCCGCGGGGAAAGCATGCTATCTACGGAATGAATCCAATGAAGGCGTAATGTGTACTCCGAGTTTCTTAGTAAGCGTCGGGGGGGCGCCACCTCCGCCGACAGCCCCACATCGACCCCCGTCGCGGGCGGCCACCGCGCGCCGAAGGCGCTCCGACCCCCCCCCCGTCACGGCGCGACGACGACAGGAATTCCGTTTTTTTTGTCTCTCCCTTCCCTCCCTGTCCCACCCACTCACGCCCAGGGCGGCTCGCCTGGTCCTGCAGGCGGGGAAGATGCGAAAGGCATGCTTACCCACCTCTGTCTCCAAGCAGAGGGTGGCATGCCTGGACCTGCGTGGGGTGGTGGTGGTGACGATTCGTGAGCCCGCCCTCGGGGGGTCCAGGGGCAGACATGTACACCCAGTAGGGGGGCCACATGCGAACCCTACCCGGTGGCCCTACCCCTGCCCCCCACGATTTCCGAGGGGGAAGGGTAGGGTTCGCACGTGGCCTCCTACCCAGGGGGACCCCCATCCGTGAACGCGCCTCACGCTCGTGCAGTTCACATTCAGGGGCGGCACGTGGGCTTAGGCGGCGGTCGCTGGACAGCTTGTGTTGACGACCGTCCCGTCAGCCCCAACCCCCCCTCCCCCTCCTCCTCCTCCTTTTCCTCCTCCTCCTCCCCCCATCCCACCCAAAGTGGGGAAGAGGGGGAAGGGAGAACGAGGAGGGGCAGGAGGGGGCAGGAGGAGAAGGGGCGGAGAGCAGGAGGGACGGATGGGAGTCGGGAGGAAGGGCCCCCCCCCCAAATGAGAAGGAGAGCGGGGCCCTTTCTGAGCAGGATCGCGCCCCCACCCCTGTCTGTGTGATGGTCTTTGCGCTTGCACCCAGGCTTGCCAGTGGCGCGTGCCTTTACCGGCCCGTGTGTCGAACCCGTGTGTCGAACACCGCCTCTTGGCACCAGTCTGGGGGCGCTTTCTGTGCGGCCCAGGTACAAGATCGAGGTCAGTTCGGGGAGGGTACCCTCGTGTTCTTCGTGCTTGTTGGGTGTTGTTGTGCATCCTCGGGGAGGGTACCCTCGGAGGTTCTCATGTTCTTCTGTGGAAGAAACACACAGTCTGTGTGACAGAACACACAGTGTTTTTTTTGTGTTTTTCCCCAAAGTGTTTTTTCCACAGTGTGTGTGTGTTTTTCACAGTGTGTGTGTGTGTGTGTGTGTTTTTCTCCACAGAGTGCGCGTGTGTCTTTTTCCACAGTGTTATTTCCACTTGCCTGGGTCCGACTGTACGGGATGTGCTCCTGGAGGTGTGTGCGGTATGTTTTTTCCATGCGGGGCGCCTCCGGGCCACTCGGCATCCCCGGGCGTCCCAGTGCTTCGGCGGGCGGCCAGGTGAAGGAGGAGGAGGAGGAGGAGGAGGAGGACCAGTGGAAACCCAAGAGTCATCAACGATGTTGGAAGTAACCCTCCCTCCAAGCTTCCTCTTCATAGGTCCCTACAACGGTTCCTTTCCATTGAGGGAACTGCTTCGTTGGAAGACATTTGAAGATCCTGGAGCGTGTCAAAACATCGTTCTCGGGATTTCGACGCCACGTATTAAACTTGACTGCTGCGTCTCGACGATCCAGAATCGTGACATAACGCTTTTTTTGGACTTCAACACAGCGAATCAACATAACGGTTGCGCCCGCATAATCCTGAATCCTTCCAAAACACCATTTCTGGTACGTTGATCATGGGAATCCGTGAAACCTTTGCAAATCTCAAAAACGAATGTGCGCGACGCTAAGGCGCGAGCCACATTTTGAAAACGACCCGCCCTCAATCCGTGAAACTCGTACATGATTTTAAAACGAATGTGCGCGGCGCTAGGCGAGAGCCACATTTTGAAAACCACCCGCCCTTACTCCGTGCTTGCAAATGTTTAAAATGGATGTGCGCGGCGCTAAGGCGAGAGCCACATTTTGAAAACCACCCGCCTTCAATCCGTGAAACTCTTGCAATTTGTTTAAACGGATGTGCGCAGCGCTAAGGCGAGAACCACATTTTGAAAACCACCCGCCCTCCATCTGTGAAACTGCTGTCACTTTTGAAGTTTCAGAGTCATCAGTGGTGAGGAAGTCTCAGGCGAAACGCCTGGCCCGCCCTAAAAACTTGCCACGGGGTGCGACAGGGAGAAATTATCTATAAGGAGAAGGAATGGAGGCCCACCCCAGTGTTTTTGACGGCTCGTGTTCGGCCCCAGCCCAGATGCCAGACGCTGTTGCCCCTTGTCCTGGTCCGCTCCCGCTCCGCACGATCACCCTTCTCCCGCGCTCCTTTCCATTATCTAGCCATGCTGGTTCAAGTGCGTCTCGAATGGAATTGAGGATCGCTCCGCACGATCACCCTTCTCCCGTGCTCCTTTCCATTCTCCAGCCATGCCGGTTCAAGTGCGTCTCGAATGGAGTTGAGGGCAGCCAGCTGTGCACCTGCGCCGATCCTGGCCAGGACCGCCCTGAGCCGAGGATTGCTGGAAGCACGCCTTCCTGTCCAAGCCAGCGGGCGTGCACGCGATCCTGGGTGCAGGATGGGCCCGGCCATGAAGGGTGCTCCTGTACAGTGACGTTCCCACATCCGATGAGATGAACCGCCTGGCGCAGTCCATTCCAAGGCCTCCACCGCCGCAGCGCCCATGACTCTGCTGCAGCTCGCACGGCCCCGGAGGCCCAGCGATTCCAGCGCCTGCAGCACGGAGAGCGCTGCGTCGGTCTCGGAGCACGAGAACCTGCCGACGTGCGAGTGCACCCCCAAGCTGCACGGCGTGGGCAGCATCTTCGATCTGCTTGTGCATCCGAGCCAGTCCAGCAGGCTCATGAAGCAGCAATAACCGACCTAGAAACCATGGAAACATGTATCGGGATCTCAGACGGACCTGGCCTTGAAAAATCACATGAAGCCAGATCTGAACTTCAAACATGCTTTTGACAAGCGTGTTTGACAGTCCAGACTGTCTTCGAATAAAGACGTGGAGTTTCCATAGTGTACGGATGTTTGCTGTAAGTCCGACCTGTTTTCTAAACATGCTCCGATGGTTTGATCTGAGGTCTGTCGGGTAATGATTTGGGGCGTGGTCTGAAGCTTTCTGCTGTAGTTGAGAAGCTCCCTGATGAAGCCTTGAGCCTCTGCGGTTGAACGACTGTCCACTGCGTAGCCTGGAGGTCTGCAATCCCAGCGCTGTCGTAATTCAAGGACGACTGGTAAAAATCCTGTGTTCAACGCTGGTGCACCAAGTCCACCTAGGCCTCCTAGATGGGACTGGAGCAGATGGGGTCGGAGGATCGCGCCGCATCGCCGATGCATCGACGATGCATCGACGATGCGGCTCGATGCGGAGCCTGATTTTCTCAACGCCAACGCCGCCGATGCGCCGCCGACGTCGGCGATGCATCGACGAGGCATGGCCAATGCATTGGCGATGCGGCGCGATCCTCCGAACACGTCCACTCGGACCCCATCTGCGGAAGGGGCACGACTGCAAGAAACCTTCCACAAGAAACGCAACCCTGAGACCCCAGGACGTCCATCGATTTTTGGCGTGGAAGCGTCGCGGTTTTATGGCGAAACCATCGAAACCCAAGAAGCCCAGGGCACCCTGGAGGCAAGCAGGGTGTTTCTTGGCATGGGTCTCAACTGTAGGAGGGAGGAGGAGGAAGAGGAGGAGGCGGAGGAGGAGGCGGAGGAGGAGGAGGAAGGAGGAGGAAGAAGAGGAGGATGGGGAGGAGGAGTTGGAGGAGGAGGTGGAGGCGGAGGAGGAGGGGGAGGAGGAGGAGGAGGAGCAGGCGGAAACGTGTGATGATGATGAGGAGGAATAATACTAGTATTAATATTTCGAAGAATAAGACGCATAATCATATAAGAGGAAGCATAAT